CTTTCGCCTCTAAAATGCATGACAGCAGGAGAGATCTCTGCCAAGTTAACTTCTTACTTTTTCTTCCCGTGTCAAAATATGCAAATATAAAGTTTTTAAATTTCTACTCAATTTGTCTCTCTTTATTCTCATAATTCCCCTCAAGGATAGTGTCTACCTCCTTATGGCAGTCCCGATTGCAGTCATAATGGTCAGTGAATAAACATATTAATTTTTAGGATTAAAAAAACAACAACATATTTTTAAACACAGTGGGGGGTGACACTGTGGCTCAATGGTTATCACTGTCAACTCACAGCAAGAAAGGCACTGGTTCAAGTTCCAACTGGGTCAGTTGGCATTTCTGTGTGGAGTTTGCATGTTCTCCCTGTGTTCGTGTGGGTTTCTTCCTGGGGCTCCGGTTTCCCCCAAAGTCCAAAGATATGTGGTACAGGTGAATTGAATAAACTAAATTGGCCATAGTGTATGTGGGTGAATGAGTGTGTATGGACGTTTCCCTGAACTGGTTTGCAGCTGGAAGGGCAGCCACTATGGAAAACATATGCTGGATAAGTCGGCGGTTCATTCCGCTGTGGCGACCCCTAATTAATAAGGGACTAATAATTAAGGGACTAAGTCGAAAAACAATGAAAGAATGAATGAATAAATAAATAAAAACTAAAACAAACATTTACAGATTTCAATAAATGAAATAAAACAAACATTTATAGATTTAAATAAATAAACAAACAAATAAATAAATTATACAAACATTTATAGATAAAAATAAATAATTAAATAAATATACAAATTAATTAATTAAACATTCATAGAAAAAAAAATAAAAATAATACAAACATTCATTCATTTTCTTTTCAGCAGAATGAACGGCCATCTTATCTGGCATATGTTTTATGCAGCGGATGCCCTTCCAGCCGCAACCCATCACTGGGAAACACCTATACACACTCATTCCCACATAAACATTACAGACAATTTTAGCTTACCCAATTCACCTGTACTGCATGTCTTTGGACTTGTGAGGGAAACCGGAGCACCCGGAGGAAACCCAGGCGGACATGGAGAGAACATGCAAACTCTATACAGAAACACCAACTGACCCAGCCGAGGCTCGAACAAGCAACCTACTTGCTGTGAGGAGACAGCACTACCTATTGCACGTCACCATAATAGAAACATTTATAGATAAAAATAAATAAATAAATAAAATAAAATATTAAAAATTATTGCAAATAAAATAAATTAATAAAATAATACAAACATTTATAGATAAAATAAATATATAAATAAACAAACAGGGGGTGGCATGGTGGCGCAGTGGGTAGTGCTGTCGCCTCACAGCAAGAAGGTGGCTGGTTTGAGCCTCAGCTGTGTCAGTTGCAATTTTTGTGTGGAGTTTACATGTTCTCTCCGTGTTGGCGTGGGTTTCTTCCTGATGAATAAAGGGACTTCATTTATAGATTTTTTAAATTATGTTTAGATAAAACTTGTTAAGGTCATGTGACCAACAGGAAGATTCCAGCATCCCTTTTTCACAGTACATATTCTCCTTTCTAACAGTCTTCCTGGGTTATTTTTGGAGGTAGCTTAGCAGGACTGGTGTCCATGTGAGTATGCTCTCTGTTTTCTTGGTATTGCGAAACACCCAATGTTTAATAGTTTTTTAGCGCACAAGTGTACTTGGAGCTTTTTCTGAATCGATAATGCTTTGGCGCTTCCTTTAATCACCAAAGTCACTTGACAATTAATTTGGTTCCTTTTCTAGAGTTTGAACTTCAAGTCAAGTCAAGCTTTATTGTCATTCCACATATGTGGACATACAGTGGACTTAAATGTTTTAACCTACAGAACCATGGAGCTACATAAATAATCACTATCAAAAATAGGAACACAACACTGCTGCAGCTACTGTAGCTCTCTCATGGTCGCTCACTCAAGCTAAGCAGGTCAGTACCTAGATGAAAGACCACATGGGAAAGCTTGATTGCTGTGAGACCAGCAGGGGGCGCTCAACCTGTAGTCTGCATGGGTCCTAACATTCCACTATACTGATGGGAATTGTAAACTGCTCAGTAAATGCTATTTTTTGAATGAGAAGTTAAACCGAGGTGTCTGTGGTTATTAAAAAAAATCCCAGGATGTCCTTCGAAAAAGAAAAGGGGTTTAACCCCGGCATCCTGACTAAATTTGGCCACTGGCGTCTGCCTTCATAGCCTCCTAACCATCTCCATATCATAATTCGCTTCATCACTCTGTCTTCTCTCCACCAACCAGCTGGTGTGTGGTAAAGGTTTTCGCACACCAGCAATATGGCTGCCATCACGTCATCTAGGTGGATGCTGCACACTGGTGGTGGATGAGGAGATTCACCCCAAAAAATGTGTAAAGAGCTTTGAGTGTCCAAAAAATAAATTGTTATTAATAAAAGAATTATTATTATAAAAAACATTGGATGTAAGAGCTATTTTGACCCTCTATTGCATGAATTTTTGTACTAGGAGGAAAAAACATTTTACCCTTATTGTGGGTGTTTGGGGGTCCCTTATAATAAATCCATCATAAAAATGTGCTCCGCCCTTGCCCCCCACCACAATTTGGTTTATTGCCTCAACAATGTGCTATTAGGGCACAAAAACATCAAGGTTTTCTTTATATTATTACGTGTGAAAAGAGGTATAAACAAGCCATATATATATATATATATATATATATATATATATATATATATATATATATATATATATATATATATATATATATACACTAGAAAAGTTTTTTTTCAATTTAACATATACAATATCAACAAGTAATATATCATCAAACACCAGCCATAAATGGTAACAAATTAAAACATAGCATTTTAGCAGATAAAAACATAGTATCTTCTCAATCAAATATGCTTCTTCACATATCCAAGCATATCACACATATATTTATATTAATATATTTCAATGTTAAAAAGTTAAATCTATCTTAGATTTCGCCAGGAGTGTGCTCAAGCAGGCTATGGTCCCAGGAATGGCTCTTTTGTCCCAGAAAACAGGTCAAATCCACACCCACCTCAAATTTCTATCGTCAACTTATTGTTAGACATTTTTTGTAATATTTTATTTTAAATTTAAAAGGAATTTTATGGGCCAAAAAACTGGGTTGTTGCCCGAGAACAACACAACGCCATAAAGAGTTAAGGCTGATTTATACTTCTGCGTCAAACGCCGGCGTATGCTGCGGCGCTGACGCATAGCCCTTCGCCGTGGCCGTCGGCGTCACTGACGTGCACCTCTCAAAAAATGTAACTACACGTTGCAACGACGCGTAGCGCAAGCTCTGTGATTGGTTGGCTTGGTAACGCTGACAAGTCTGGGCGGGAATGAGAGCCGCGTGAATGGTGCGAGCCCGATGGAGCGATTGTTTACACGTGTGGAGTCCTGTGAAAGAGCTCCGGATGGAAAGTTTTGTTCTGTGTTTACCACATGGTTAAAGTTGTTGCACGTCCGCCGGTTCCTGCCTCAAAATGAGCGAGTTTGAGCCACTTGTACATCCCGGAAGTGTTAAGGAAAACAAAACAGCAGCGAAGAAACTCGACACAGAGGAACATTTACACATCACTGCCAAATAGCGCAAAAACGCGCGTTGCATGCGCCATGGGTCACGCCGGTCACTTGACGCAGAAGTATAAACCAGGCTTTCAACCTACACATTGTGGGCCTTATTATACACCAAGTGCAATGCAGCACAAGGCGTGACGCAATTGTAGTTTCAGCTCGACACAAGTGTCCTTTTGACGTTTTGCACCACACTGTTTAAATAGCAAATGCATTTGCGATCATATGTGCGCCCATAAATGTTCTGGTCTAAAAAGGAGGTGTGTTAAGGCGCATTGCTGATACATTGTTATTTTGAGGAACTAAAAAAGACTGCACAATAGACCAGCTGAAAGGAGGAGCGCAGAAGTCCAGTGGAGAGCACGTTAGTTGTGCGCCTAGCTTAAACATAGCTTAATACACACAGGATATAAAGCAATACGCAAATAGCTTTACAAATTAAAAAGAATTAATAGAATAAAATATTAAAAATTATTATTTTATATACTATATAAAAATGAAAACCATACTTTCATGCCTTCTTCATCTCGGGGGGCTTTTTCAGTTTATTCATGACAATTTGCTTTAGTATAATGTTATTATAAGTAGTAGTATTATTTATTATATGCATATTTATTTTTGTTAAAACAAGCTTAGATTTGCCCACCAGTCAAGTTTTAGACTATATGGGGAATAACATGTATATTTGAATATAACAGTTGTTTGAGCACACTTCGTTGTTATTGTTAATTGATTTGTTTGCTGAAAATTAGAAATTAATTTAAAAATACTTTTGAAACAAATCTTTGCGCTTAACAACTGAAATTAATTTTGTATAGACTAATGGATGTCTATGCGTACAACACTGTTTCCTTATCCATGATAGTGAAAGTAAAGAATGAGGATGCTCATTCTCTCATTCTCGGCACTGCAGATGGTCTATTTAACTGTTTTCTCATTAGTGAAGTGTTTAGTTTTTCCACTTACAAAATCCGCCATGTAAATAGCAAATGCGCTATGGCACAGTGCAACTGATTCTCAAAGGGAATGGGAGATGAGACTGATTGGTTTATTCTCAAAACACACCTATAACTCATTAAGAGAATAAACTCAACCCTGTTAGACCATGCGCAGTGGCGTAAAGTGGATTTTTCCATCGTTAAGATAAAAGTGGATTTGGACACGCTCTTAATGCTTTTGCGCCCGCTATGTAACCATAGCGGTTTATTGAGGATGAGGGAGCTCTCGAATTTCTAAAATCTAAAAAAAAAAAAATCTTAATTTGTGTTCTGAAAATGAACAAAGATCTCAAAGAACAACATGAAGGTGAGCAGTCATAAACAGAATTTTCATTTTGGGTGAAATAACTCTTCATACTAAAATTCTCAAACTAAACAAATGATTGGTTTTACTCACCTTCAATTGCAAAGGGTTTACCAACTGTCAGTAACTTGCAGTCAGCATCAATGGACACCTCATAGTCCAGCAGGGCTTTGTCCATGATAAACGCATCAAGTTGAGGCGGATCTGTCCTTCACAACATAAAAAAAAGAGGTGGGCTACAAAACTACTACCCACAGGCATCCAAGTACCGCACTCTCATTAAACATGCACAGTATGATTTTCATAAGTCAGATTGTGCATCTCATTCTGGTGCAAATGGAACACAGACATCATTTGTCTGAGCTAAATGTTCATAAACTGCAGCGGTGACCATAAATCAGCAGCTACACTAAACTAGATGCAAGCTGAATAGAGCCTGAAAAGGAGTTTTAATGGATAGAGACACCTTAAGGGCAGCAGCCCACCGTTACTTAATTTAATGCTAATAAAAGATGTCATTAATCAAAAAGTTCAACCAGCAGCAAATCCGAAGTCAAACAAATTCAGTAGTACAACTTATTTCTTTTTTCATATATTGTGTTATTAGCCATTTCTGTTATCTGGCTAAACTAAAATAAACAATTCAAATGCTTACTGTCAAGTGAAACATACAAAAATGTTACCACCAGTAGTTTAATTTACATCTGAATATGAACACAAGTGCGTATAAATCATCAAAATGCATGACATCAAAAGACAGAAACAGAGAGGCTGAAAATCAAATGTTTGAAAAATGAATTGCTTTGCCGCTTCATTGCGATACATATGGTCACTGATACCTCTGATCCCCTTCTCAAAATTAAAAAAAGGATTAAAGTGTTTTCAGCCAATTCAAATACTTCATGGATCTTTGACTCTTTTGAAGACGTTTGCCTCTTTTAAGTTTTTCTCCCAATTACATTCTGAATGATACTTCCAAAAAATTAAATGAAGTAACTTCTATGCCATAATTTCAGTTAATTCTACCATCTGTCACACAGACTAAAACCTTTACTAAGGAATTAATGAGAGAAGAAAGACTTGACAACTCTTAGAATGTTAATGTTTGCTGTTTCTTAATGTGATCTCTGGTATTGGGTGCAAACTTACAGTGGCCCAGTAGAAAATTGAAGTTCACAACAATACATAAACTAAGGGTGCTTTCACATCTGTGGTTCAGTTCATTTGGTCTGGGCCAGGGGTAACAAATGGTATTTTCACACAACACTGATTGCTTTGGTCCAAACTATTTGAAAAGTACCAAAAAGAAGTCATCTGAAAAAAATCCACATCACTCATTGGCCAGATGTTATTGAATGTATTTCCTAAACTGCTTTTTAATTGGACAGAATTAACGTGCGGGAAAATGCCAATGGAACTCCCGCAAGTAAACAAACCGGCAGACACAAAATGTCGCTTTTGACTGTGGAGGGACGACTGCTCTGACTGATTGTATCCCTGCTCATAGTCTACTATATAGTTACATCACTTTAGACAAACTATACACTTAGAAAATTAAGCGTGGCTGCAGCTGGAAAACAATGTTTTAATGCATTGCAAACGTTGAAGGCACATCGCAAGTAGAAGGCGTACATTAATTTAGCTAAATTGCGACATGGTCATCTTCTGGAGATATTACCAACGAATTACCAAGTAAGGTTTTTCCCTCTCTTTATCTCTGTTGAAAACTGTTGGTATAGCGCTGTCAACAAATATTCCTCCACTTTCAAAATTGCACAGCATCAGATTACAGGTTGGGTCTGTTTTAGTTCAAATCATATTCTCACCACAAACGAACCGCTTCAGAGTTGGTTTGAAAGTTTCTCTTCAAGGAGCTCTCGGTACGCTGTTTTGGTCCGTTTTTGGTGCACAATAGAGTGCGATTGCTACATTCACAACTGCCCAAACAAACCGCACCAAGAGGGAAAATGAACCCTAGAGCACTTCAACCGAAATAAATAAGGCAGGTGAGAAAGCACCCCACAGAATAACATCAATAAAGCAAACTTAAGCTCACGATACAACAACAATAACAATGCAAGCAAAATGACGTAAAACAACACAATGACGTTATAAGTTAGTTCAACGTTATAAGACGTTATAAGTGAATCGTTCAAATACTAGCTTTAAAGTGACGTTGGTGAATTAACAACAGTTTCTGCTGTTTTGACAGACAGCTGCAGATGTAAATCAATGGTGGAAGAAAGTAGTTCCTCGCACAAAAGGATTTTTGAAAAAGTTTCAAAAAAAGGATTTTTTAAACTTTGATTTTATTTTTATATACACAAACATGTCGTGAAACTGTTGTATAGACACAATATTACACTCGTAGCAGGGCGATATGGTTTGTATGTTGTTAATGGTGTGATATTAGAACCAACGCACACCTCCTACCAGTGCCAATATACATCCAAATCACACTGCTATGAGTGTGATATGGCTCAAATATTTCACTTGACCACTTGATTCAAATGTTACATTTTCTAGTTTGTACTTTCTACATTCAAGAAATACATTATTGTTTGGTTCATTACTTCAACCATGTTTATTATACATCAACATTAAAATGGTCACATAACCCATTCTCATGTGTGCTGGAACCCATATAATAATGTATCATTTTGTACATTTCTTGAATGTATTTGTACTATGAGATTAATCTTAAAATGTATACTCAATATTTAAGTGATAAAAATGTTTTTACTGAATGTTTTATTATGCTGGGTTGTGTTAAAATAATGTTTGAGCACACCCAACCTCCAAAATATCCATTCTTGCTTTCTCTCAGATTGTGTGTAAAGAAGCCACTTGGGAAACAGCATCTCTTTAAAGGCGCAACTGATGCAGGAGAAATATAGGAAAATATTATTCATTTACAAATCGATTACACATATTAAGATCAATCACTTAATTTAAGAATTTTTTATTGAGTCTCAAGGTAATTGAGGTTCCACTGTAAACAATGACCCCCAGGGGTTGGGAGCATTTCCGTTGTGTTGTGGCCAAGAGGTAACCTCCCGCTCTCCTTCATGGAGCAAATACGCAAGTAACTGAAACTGCAATTCATCTAAATTTCGCTAGTCTTGGCTCCATAATAGAGCAAGTTTCTAGTGACCCCACTGTTTAAATGACCCACTTTACAGCAGAAAAAGGTTTTAAGTCTACCCTCGTACAAAGAACAATTTTGGTTCATATAGCTAATATTACCCTTCAGAACAATTGTGGTGGGTGATTTTTTTTTAGAACTCATCCGTTTCCTTTATATTAGGTTATATTAAGTCTGCATAATTAAGGGCGTGGCCACTTGAACAATGTTGATCAATTAGCGGCTGAGCTTGGCATATACATCGTATTTTTTTATTTTACAGTATGTGGCTTTACACATTCAGTTGCCTTTTTGAATTAATTCTTATAATTATGAGATGATATGGCATGCTGTGGCATGCAAACCATTCATGTGGCCTCCATTTCCCAGGTGAGTGAAATTATTTACTTATACCATATCTATAAATGTATTTGTTTTAAGATCATTTACCATTTATGTTTCTTTGGAATTTGAATGCACTCCAGAATCTGAAATATTGATTAGCTGTAGGCCACAGAACAGTCATCTGAAGCATTGTCAAACAGTGTCATGCCTGGGTTTCATAAATAGCCTTGCTATTACTAAGACAGACTACGTTTCAAAAATTTGGATGTAATTCCCGTTTTCCTCTTGTAGAAAAGCATCATGAGAACAATGCTTAGTGGCTCAATGTATTACAACAGTGTTTTTAAAAGTTTAAACAATTTAATGATTTAGTACACAACCAAGCACATGTGGTCAGAACATAAACGAGTCACAGGTGATGAAGTATTAAACGTTTGTCCAAAAGAAAAGCCAGTCTAAGCAAAATGCTAGCAGGCATCTGTAGTTCTGCTCACGTTCCGCCTATTTGCCCTTGTTTGGTATTCCCCGGTCGGTGTGATTATGCACTAACAAAATGGCATACTTGGCCTACGCCTTTTGAGTTATTCAGAAACCTAAGGGGGACGTCACAAATACTATGTTCACATCTTTTACAGTCTATGGCTATGGCTTAATGTCATTGTGTTGTGGCTCATTGTTGTTTATATACTGTCTGTATAAAAACACGTAAACATATTAGTTTTTTAATGTTATTGTGTTGACAACTTATGTTGATCTTAAATTATTGTATTGTGAATTTACTTTTTGTGTGTGTATGTGTGTGTGTTGCGAACCTATGCTGTGTTGTTGTAATCATATTAATTCTGTTGTGTTGTGCAACCAGTGCCACCGTATGGTTAGTAGAGGAAAATCCATGTATTCCAAATGATAGTTTACCTTAACTGAATTGAGCTTTAGTTAAAAATCATAAAGGATTTTATAATTATCCTCCCCTTTTCTCCTTTATTTAAATGTTGAATTATTTCTGACTATTTTTAATAAACAAATAACGAAAACACACTCTTCATTTATTGATATGTGCGTGACAGACTGTGGCACTGCAGCTGACAGGAAACAACAAACAACTCGCCTGGTGAACAGCAGTGAAAGGGAATCTCAAATCTTTGACTCAAAAATGCTGAGAGGAAAAAAACAATGCTTCAGGCAAACAGCTTATTTTAATGACAGTTTTATATTTATTTATTTAATTATTTGGGCAAAATATTAATGGTTGTTGTACTGTCAACCAGTGAGTCGCTAGAAAGGCTGTTAGAGATTCACCATGCATGTGCAGTGTAATGAAGAGGTTGTAGCTGCTGTTTGAATGGCCATGCAGTTTATTTATTTATTGGTAAATTTCAGTTTGTGGTAAAAGTGTTTGCTTCTGCAACTATGCCAGGAGCACTAACTGCAATCTGCTGTGTGCATGCTGTTAGTTGAGTTGTTCCTTACTTTAGAGTGGCGACTCCATCAGGTGTGGTAGGTTCATTGAATTTCCGCATATATTCGTGCATCTCAGGAAAGCTCTTTTTCATATAATCCTCTGCACTGCTTTCCCGAACTGTGCCAAATCGGAATCCCTGAGAGGGGTGATGAAGCTAAGGCCAAGGGCAGGAAAAACAGTTACACTCTTTTTATTACATTATAGTGAAACACACAACGGGGTGTTTTAAACCTCTGGGTCTCCTGGTCACTTCTGAACGAAAAATATTTGTTTTTTGAAATGTAAAAAAAAATACAGATTCATCAGAATTGTATAAAACTTGGTGACTTTTTAAAGTTTTTGCAATGTTAACAATACAAATAGGATCAGGATTCAAGCAGTTTGAGTACAGAATTTGAACTACTAGGAATTGACAAGCTGTTCTGCTATTGTGGCATCTAGATGGTGCTAATCTGCCTCCTCAAATATGTATATGAATGGGAGAGTCTTACTACTGCTTATTACTCACCAATACTGCACTAATTAAAAAAAAAACATTATCAAGAACTCTACATAATATTAAGAAAAAAATCCCATAGTTTTTTTAATAGTGAAAAAAATCTATTACTGCATGGATAGTTTAATTTATTTATTTTAGTTTGTTTAATTTAAGTTACACTGCATCTTGCCAACTAATTCTCATTAGATTATAAGAAGACTGTTAGGTTGGGGTTGAGGCTCATACACACCGGGACACTTTTCGTTTGCGTTTATCGTCAGCGTTTTTCAAGACATTTTTCTGGATTCAAAGTATGCAAAATCACTCTTTAACGTTAGATGGCGCTACACAACTTTAAGCTTCTGACACCCGCTTGTAACACAGAAGAAGAAGACAAAGCTGATATACTTGTTGATATGGATAGTTCAAGTAGCAGCTCCAGCTCTAGTGATGATGAAATGATTATTGTTAATCAGAGCAATAAGCAGCTCCACATTCATATTGCCTCTGGGCATTTTTTTCAATGTGCGCTCTTATTGACAGTTTTGCGCTTGAGCGCCTCCAAGTGCTGTTCACTGTAACTTCAGTAGCTCTGTGCAAATGAACAAAAGTGGCAATTTGATTGGTGGAGAAGGTTTTGACGCATCACGTCAAAAAAAAAAAAAAAAACAAGCATGAGGCGTTTTTTAAAAAATGTCGCTTTTTTGCCTGCCGTTTTGCACGTTGGTGTGCACGATCCCATTGACGCCCTTTATTTAGTCACGAGGCATTAAACGTCAACGGGAATCGCAGGCAAAAAATGTCTCGGTGTGCACGGGCCTTTAGGGTTGGGTTTAGGGTTAGTGTTAGTTGACATGTACTTGCAAAGTTTCTTATAGTAAAAAAAAATTAAAAATTAAGTGTTACTGAATAGTATTTTTAATCAAATTCTCTCAAAATGAAAAAAAAAAAAAAAAAAAAAAATATATATATATATATATATATATATATATATATATATATATATATATATATATATATATATATATATTATATAAGTCACAAATGTGGTCTTCGGTCACTTTTAAACAACTGGAGTACAAGTGTGATTCTGTTTTCTGTAGATCCAGAGGGTTAAAGTGCATAACTTTACCATGAATTTAACTTTTTATAGTGGAAACCGGTTTCCTACCACCATCCAAAAACATGCAACTTAAGTTAATTGACTAAGCCAAATCGGCACCATAGACATGCTCCTAGTAAGTAGTTATCTTTTAAGAGCAACCACTATCTGTTCATTAGCTTCTACAGCAGGGGAGTTCTCGAGATCTACCTGAGCTCAAAGTCTTGAAAACTGGAGGGAGCCCCGGGCTTGGGGATCTTATGTACTTAGGACTCTCTCCTGGGACAGCATTCCAAATAAGCTTTATAATCAACCATAAGGTAAGTGTGAACTCTTGAAAGTTAATTTCAATAAGTATATTAATAAAGAAGTTATAAAATTCCATGCAACAAATATTATGGTATTTTGTCACGACAAAGACATCTCAAACAATGGCACCTTTGCTTTTAAAATGACATAACTTAGCGAATGTTACATAATGACAGTTGTCATAAGCATGCTCAAATTCTCATTCAGATTTATGACATGTGTTATGTTAAGATAATAAAGATTTCAATACTGTCTTATGAACATCCTTTTTAAAGTAAAGAGCTATTTGTATTATTGCTGTATGCACTGAAGTGTCTTAAAAAATCTCACCTTGGCATCATGTATTCCCGACACTTCTTCAAAGGTCTTTTCCCCAACCATCACTGCAGCTAGGTTTGCTGTGTAACTGGACAAAACCAGCAGGCAAAATATGGCCCATAGATTCATGAGGAAACGTCCAGTCCAACACTTTGGTGTCTTACTAGAGACTGTGCGGCCAAAGAGGATGGCGTAGCAGAGGTTGAGGGCTGAAGAATAGGAAAAGACCTTTACACGGTTTCGTCCATGAGGCGTCATGCCGAAGGGACTCTTCCATTCGTAGAGAGTGAGGAACAGTGCTGTAATGTGCAGCGCCACAAAAATTCCCATCCACATGGACCAGTGTAAAGGCCACATGAATGCTCCAATAGGTGCTGCTGTGTCTTTACTGCGCACCAGTATTCCCAAACTTGTTGAAAAGAATGGACTAGTGAAATCAATCACCTTACTGCGAGCCGAGTTGATGCTAAAACTGGTAACAGCCATATCAGCTACTCCACTTAAGAGGTCACCCACCAGACCTGTCCACTGCCCTCCCTTGACAGCCCCATATTTCCCATCTCCAACTATGTACAGGTCAAACTCAAAGTTCATGTCTTCTGACAGCTTCTCCAATAAATCAATACAGTATCCGTAGCAACACTTGCTGTAATCCGGTGGCAAGAAGCTTTTGTTGCCTTGAGCCCGCTCAGCGTACAAATGATCTAAGGTTTCTGAACTGTTTGTTCCTGCATCCAGACAATATTGCCCAGCAGGACAGTTTCCATCCTCATCTACCTCTCGAGTGAACACGAACGGGTGCTCCACCAGAGTGACCACACGTAGACGACTCCCAGACACAGGAAAGCCAGCTCGCCATCTACGTCCTTCCCTGCCCATCTGGCCCTCCGTGCGCTGCCGAGGTGATGAGCCTTGCCATAAGCCCTGTTCCTCCACATTCAACCTACCACCTTCCCAGCTACCTACAGTTACCCACGTAGGCTGACCGACGGCATCCCGTCGAAGACTCCAAATGTGGACCTTATGAGACGTGTGTACACGAGAAAGGTTGCGTTGAACGATGACAGGGCCTGTCAACCCTACAAAGGATGTATTAGAGAGGAACCTGTGGATGAAAAAATACAACAGTCAGATCATTTGTGAGCTGATTTGTTACAGTACAGATGGTTTTCAAGCTTGTTCTGCTGTTTTGTCTTAAAGTTCAATAGATTTTGTTCAGTGTAACAATAACTTCTGTGCAAAATAAATCTGTCAGGCATATTTACAAGGATTCAATGCTTTATGGACTTGAGCTGTGCATCAATGGATTTGCTCTTCAGTGTTTGGACTCTCCACAGTGATATTTAAACCACACTGAACTGAAGTAAACTGAACTTCAACTCTGTAAACTGGACTGACACAGTTTCAATTTACTAGAACTTCTATGTGAAGCTGCTTTGACACAATCTTTATTGTAAAAGCGCTATAAAAAAATAAAGACAAATTGAATTAAGGTTTATAGGATCTATAATAAAAAAAGGTTATTATATTGTAAGCATTCCTTTACATGTCATCTTTGCTCATAATAACTGAATGATTTGTGAATTTTATGTGTTGTTTCAGAAAAAGTGTTTTCCTTTTCTTTTCTTTTTTATATTCATTTATTATCCATTAACTTATTTAATTATATTATCAGTAGTCATTTCATTCATTCATTCCTTTTTTTTTTGGCTTAGTCTTTCATTAATCTGGGGTCGCCACAGCGGAATGAACCGCCAACTTATCCAGCATATGCTTTACGCATCAGATGCCCTTCCAGCTGCAAGCCATCACTGGGAAACATCCATACACATGCATTTACACACATACAATATGGACAATTTAGCTTACCCAATTCACCAGTACTGCATGTCTTTGAACTTGTGTGAGAACTGGAGCACCCGGAATAAACCCACACAAAAAATTGGGAGAACATGCAAACTCCACACAGAAATGCCAACTGACCCAGCCAAGGCTCGAACCGGCAATCTTCTTGCTGTGAGGTGATTGTGCTACCCACTGTGACACCCCAGTAGTCATTTATGTACACTAATTATCATTTGATTATTTTCATGGTTTAATAAATTATTAGTTAAAGTTTTGATTTTTAATTTAATAATTCTTTGTTTTAATTCATTCATTCATTTTCTTTTCTTAATCCCTTTATTAATCTGTGGTTGCCACAGCGGAATGAACCACCTACTTATCCAGCACATGTTTTATGCAGCGGATGCCTTTCCAGCTGCAACTTATCTCTGGGAAACATCCATACACACTCATTCACACTCATACACTATGGACAATTTATCCTACCCAATTCACCTGTACTGCATGTCTTTGGACTGTGGGGGAAACAAGAGCACTCAGAGGAAACCCACGCGAATGCAGGGAGAACATGCAAACTCCACACAGAAATGCCATCTGACCCAGCCGAGGCTTGAACCAGTGACCTTCTTGCTGTGAGGCGACAGCACTACCTACTGCGTCTCCTCTCTGTTTTTATTGTATGTATATATATATTTAAAGTCATATCACCCTGCAGCCCAAGCTCTGAAGCTAAGCAGGTCTGAGCCTTGCCAGTACCTGAATGGAAGACCACATGGGAAAACTAGGTTGCTGTTGGAAGTGGAGTTAGTGGGGCCAGCAAGGGGGGATCAACCTGCAGTCTGTGTGAGTTTTAATGCCTCAATAACGTGAAGGGGACACTATACTGTCATCTTTCGGATGAGATGTTAAACTGAGGACCTGACTCTCTGTGGTTGTTAAAAAAATGCCATTGCACTTCTCGTAAAGAGTAGGTGTGTAACCCTGGTATCCTAACCACATTCCTTCCATCTGCCCTTTCCGATTATGGACTCCCCATCCTCCCAATCCCTTGAATTGGCTCTATGACTACGTTTCCATCCACCTATTTTTATGTGCATATCCGAAATGCACATCTAAAAAAACTTGGTTAATGGAAAGCCAAGATGCTAATTTTGAAAATGGGTAGGATAAACTTTTTATTCGATAGGAAAAGATACGCATTAACTATGATGGAAACACTTTTAATGAACAAATTTCAGTATGCGGATTACAAAAGTCATGTGATTTTGTTATAAGAGATCATGTGATGATAAAAATATGTATGAATGGACAAACAAACAGGCTGAGCACATTGTAAACCATCTGAAATGTTGATTTGGTCTTAACCATTCCAGTATTAGTGTTATTATTTTATTAGTGACCTCTAGAGTCAAAAGCGCCGGTGCTCTGTGTCTGACACCTACGAACGCCACCGCGCCTTCGCTGTATGTCTGGATTGCCCTCTGAGGCACAAGTCATTTATTAAATTCGCTATTAAAATATGCTGCAGCTTCTCCTACTGCAGCATATTCCATTCTTACTGTTGATATTTGGCGCCATTTAATCACAATGTGACGATTTGGTTTTGTTTGACTTGTTGGAATGCTGCTTTATTTACACATCTTTTATGTGATAATACAGTTTTGCACACAAAGTTAATTAGCATTTTTGGCTGGAAACATAGCTACTGTCTCTCTACTCAGCCAATAGCTAGTGTGTGGTGAGCACACTGGTGCTGTTGGTTGCCATCGCATCCTCCAAGAGGAAGCTGCACACTGTTGGTGGTGTGGAAAGACCTTGGGTGTATGGCCATACATGATAAATGCGATATGTATATACACATTACATTATTGTTGCTTTTATTTCTTATTGTTATAATATTATTTTTGTGGTTTCCAGGGATTCATGTTTTCATAAAAGCAAGTCTCAAATATAAGTTTAATGTAACTGCATTATATTTTAAAGCAGTATTTTCCCCAATTGCTATTACCTGTGGTATTATATAACTTTTTGGATCTGTGTTGATCAAACAATTTTTGAGCATTGAAGCATATGCATTTAAAAGGATTAAATCTCATCTTCATTATCTCGTCCTCTGCTTCTGCTCTTCACAGTCAACTTCCTGGCTGATAGAACATTCAGTTCTGTTTAACAGGTTTGAAAATGTAACAGTTCTGCAGGCTTATTGTTCAGAGACCCATCACACTGATGTTTTCTGACAAGATCTGGCATTGGGGGCTACATCTGAATTATCTCGCATGTAGATTCTAACAAAGTCTTTTGAGCCTGATTTGTAACTCCGAATAAAGATACTTAGGAGGTTGTTGCTAGAGCGGATACGTTTGCGGCCGGAAGTTAACGTGAATTATTTCTATTATTTATTAAATTTCTCATTTGTTGTATTTTATTAACGTCAACCCCCACCCCCACCCCAACCCTAAACCCTACCGTCACAGTAATGTTAAAACTGTAGTTGTACCGAGTTTTAGTTATGTTATCTATTAAATTACTCAATAAAATGTATTTTTTAACGCCTACCCCCACCCCAACCCTAAACCCAACCCTCACAGTACTGTGAAAATATCAATTATTGTTATACAGTGTCATAAAAAATGCTGCTTTATTAATGTGCATATCGCACTACCGGCCGGCCGCATATCCGATCTAGACTTTACCTACTTAGGATGTAGCTAGCATATACCTAAATAATCTATGCTATAGGCACTATGCTAAACAGGCCTGGAAATTGTATTCTGCAGAAACCTAGACAAAACTAGCCTTCCAAATGACAAACTTTGCACTTATACACTATGCAGTAGTACACTCAACCATGCAGAGTTTCAAATAGAACACTAAATTTTTTTTTTTAATGAAATGTAAATTAAAACTGTTTCCCAGACGACATGAATGGTGGCCAAAGTACTGAAATTAATGATCTATCTACCAAATAGCACCTGTCATTTATGTGTGAATTCACTACTTAGGCTATTTATTCTATAAAATGGTGTAGAATAGTGCATAATTGTGATTTGGGATGCACCTAAAGACTCATGGGTTAATAAGTAGACATGTAGGAGTTAGTAACATGATTGCACACAGCCAAAGTTTGCTTTATCCTTTCCAGTGGCAAATTAGATATTACATATGCTGTAACTATAGCAAAGGGGGATGGCCTGGGAGAGGGATTGCCTAGCTGGATGAGTGACACGGTCTGGCATTCATCACATCATAAACTACAAATGCTGCTTTCACAGAGCAATATATCTGATTGTGAACCACCCTCCCACTCTTCAGAATTACAGCCACTCAGTTGGCAGGGCCGTGTTTCTAGTATGCAGCTCGGGTCACTTAAGGAAATGTTTTGACATTGAGCTTGAAGATTAATGTCTGGAGTCATAAATGATATGTATGACTTTTTGACTAATGCCATGCTAGTTAATGAAAAGCTGAGTGTAAAAGCTTAACATGTACAGTAATTTGGCTTCAAACCTTAATCTATATAGTTTCACCTGTCACAGGAGGCAAAATGGCCCACTATGGCCTACCAATAACTGACATGAAATGTAAAGTGTGCAGCTCAATTAAAATGGCTTGTAGTTATATAGTTAAAAGCCCTATTTGATGTAACTTTTACTTTGCTAATCTTTCAAACATTGAAAAGAGAGACAACAGAACTGTAAACAAAGGGAATATTAAGGGAGGATGGAAAAAAAAATTGGTAAAATATTTCCATAAATAAAATTAGCATGTACAGGATGATGCTTAAAAATATCAGTCTTAATAATTTTAGTTATTAGGTTGATAGTGCCATAGCTTTTTTATATCAATTTTTTTGGTCACACTTAACAATAAGGTTCATTAGTTAATGTTAATTAATGCATTTACTAACATGAACAAACAATGAACCATACATTTACTACTGTATTTGTTCATGTTAGTCAATGCTAGTTAATGTAAATACAGTTGTTCAATCTTAGTTCATGTTAACTCATGGTCCATTAACTAATGTTAACAAGCACGGACTTGGATGTTAATAATGCATTAGTAAATGTTCAATTATGATTAATAAATGCTGTACATGTGTTGTTCGTGATTAGTTCATATTAGTAAATGCATTAACTAATGAACCTTATTGTAAAGTGTTACCAATTCTTTTTTTTTTCTTTTTTTTAGTTAAAGTAGAAAAAAATATTGATCTCAAACCAACGTCATAATCTTAAAACAGCAGGGGTTGGGGGCTTGAGCATGAAATTCCTGAATACATAGTTTTTAAATAGTATTTACTGTGTTAAAGAGTTGGATTCTCATGCAAATCATAGACCAAGTGTTAACAACAATTTGCACAAACATATTAAAGTGCGTCCCTAAAGACTGCATATGACTTGGCTTCAGAGAAGTTTTTTGTTTGTTTTTTGGCTTTAAATTGAAGATTTATATACCCTTTTCAGTCAGAATTTAACCCTTTCACACATAGGTTTTATATACTTCAATGTGACCATTAATTAGAATGCATAACTTCAATGTTGGGAAAGCTACTTGAAAAATGTAGTGAGCTAAACTATTAGCTACTCTAATTAGAATGTAGTTGAACTGCACTAAAAGCTATCATCTGGGAAATGTAGCAAGCTAAACTAAAGGCTACTATCCAAGCTATTTTTGCTATTTTAATTTTTTAATCAAAGCAAGCTAAATCCAAGCCATAACTGTTCAGTTAAATTATTTACTGGAAGTAATATGATGTACTAAACAGAAAGAAATTAACGTATATAACAGCAAAAAATAAAAAAATAAAAAAAAATAAAAAAATAAAATAATTATAAATTATAATAATAATAAAAAAATCAATAAAACCAGGTTACACATTTAAAATACTAAAGTATTTTTTTAGTAAATGGAAATATTAAGGTATATATATATTATATATATATATATAATTGGTAGGGACATCACAGACCGCAGTAACACACTAAAAAGTTTGTTGTTGACAACCATAAAACTCGAAGAAGAAAAAATCGGCATTCTCACCATCATATGGTTTTACTTTCATCGGCTAGACACTCTGTGAATGTGCCGTCACTTATTAATCTGCAATCGTTAAATGTAGCTTTGTGGATGCTACTGCTCTACTTGAATAAAAAAAATAGCTTCACTGCTGAAAAGCTACTTGATTTAGAAAGTAGTGATGCTACCACCACGCTACTGAGAAATATAGTTAAGCTAGCAATGTCACTACTTGTAGCAATGCTACTGCCCAGCACAGCATAACTTTTACTTTCCATGGAGATGCATCTAGTTTACTATGACACTCCACAGCCCCATGCACTGGAGAGATTAGAGCTGTAGATTTTACAACCTGTCAATTCATCAACTTCTCCCTAAGGCCCAATCCCAATTCTACGCCATAGCCCTTCCCCTTATCCCTACCCCTTGTGTTGTGCATCATTAGAAATTTGCATTAACAAACAGTTGGACAACAGGGCACAGTAGGTAGTGCTATCGCCTCACAGCAAGAAGGTCGCTGGGTTGCTGGTTCGCGTGTTCTTCGCGTGGGTTTCCTCCGTGTGCTCCGGTTTCCCCCACTGTCCAAAGACCAAAGACATGCGGTACAGGTGAACTGGGTAGGCTAAATTGTCCGTAGTGTATAAGTGTGTGTGAATGTGTGTGTGGATGTTTCCCAGAATTGGTTGAGGCTGGAAGGGCATCCGCTGTGTAAAAGACTTGCTGGATAAGTTGGTGGTTCATTCCGCTTAGGCGACCCTGGATTAATAAAGTGACTAAGCCGACAAGAAAATGAATGAATGAATTAAACAGTTGGACAGGTGTACCTAATAAAAGTGAGGTACTAAAGTGTGGTACTAAAGATTAATAAGAATAGATATTATGAGCATGACAATAACAAAATAGCAACATTTTGAATTACAACTCAAGTTTTAATTACACATGCAGTCTACTAACCCTAAAAATAGATAAATCAATAGTTATTTACTTTTATAACATTACAATGTGACCAAAGTCTTGCATGAACTGCTGAGCTATGTATCATGCTCCTGCAGCAATGCCCTCGCAATGGTCCAGCATTATGCAGTACGGCTTGGTCCGGTTGGCAGATTTTCAGACTTATCCTGTTGTGATGAGAGGCCCAGGCTTCCCACACAGCCACATTTCACTTCTGTTTGTTGTGAGAGATATAGTGGTGTGTGGCAGAGTGCTGGCATGATCCACACAAAATGACGGGCCTGCATGGTAGGCGGGTGCCAGAGCTTTTGATAAGAGTGATCCCTCCTCAGGGAAAGGCAACTGAGGGGAAGTCATAAATAAAGCTTAAAGCTCTAAAGCATGTCTGCATTCCAGCTGAGTGTCTGGGCAAACACCAGTAATTTGCTGCAGCATGAGAAAGTGGACATACTCCTGTCCTGAAGCAAAACACTATAGCTGTCCAGGGCGACTCATCCAGATGGTAGGATGTTTTACTGATAACTATTTAGAACAAAACATAAAAGCAAATAGCAAATAAGTTTCTTAAAATATCTGGTATATAATAAAGTAAATGAGACATTTATTCCTCCTTTACAGGAGTGGTCCACAGTGATTTTTTAAAGCTTGGTTGTGTTCATAAGATGCAAAGCAATGTGTGCTAATGCTTCACTTGTAGAAAATCACATAATTTTTTTCATATATCTTACTTTGATTATATACTGCTACTCAGCTAACATGAAAACGACTGTTATATTTTCTAGTTTCTCCGAAAGGCCTGCAAAAGGCTCTGATTGGTCAGCTAACATAATGTGCGGTGATTCGTGATTCTCCAAACTTTGCTCGCAGTAGGCTTTGCTAAGCTAACTTCTTTAAAAGCCAATGTCTCCTTTTGCGTTGAACTTTGAGCGTATTACATTCAGAGATGTTGTTTAAGTTGACACAGATACATTACACATCAACTAAGGTTTCAAATATGATATCATAGTGGACCACCTCTTTAAACATCTAATTTGTTTATTTAATTACTTTTGTCTAAAAATACATATTGTGTTTGCACATCCAGTGGCATGCTGCAAATTCTGGCGTGTCCAATGTAAAACTAAGATGGAGCTCTGCCTATAATTGTGTCATAATGTTTGTAGGTAATTTGTGTGTGTTGCAGTAGTTTTGACCCCATTGTATTTTGTAGTTTTATAAAGTAGGTTAACTGATTTAATTTAAAACCCCACAAAAAACACTTATTGAACAAAATGGATTCAACATTGAATTGACTAAGAATGAAAAATGTCTCTATTGTCTTCTGTAGAACTGCTTATAACTTCAGTGAACTCTCATTCTTTAGACAGTGTGAGCTGAATAATGAGCGGAATTATGGCAGCATTGTCTTGTATTGTATGCAATACTATTGAACTGAATTTGTCTCATAATTCAAGTCTGCTTCATTGACTTTGTTTCTGTTTATTATAGTAAAGCTCTTTTGAAGCAAGTATAAATTGCTATATAAAAAAGGTGATTCATTATATTTGCCTTTTTTCAGTTTTAAAACATCACTTGCAGTTTCATTAGAACACATTCAGTATGATTAAAGAAATAGTGCTGGTGAAATGGATTTAATGACTCGACAAAAAAAAGAAACAACAAAGTTAGTTTAGTACTAAATGACAAGCGTAATTGTTTCTGTAATTACTTTTCAGCATTAAAGGTTGCTTTTATATTTGCATATTTATATTCTTATATTCATTGCTTTGATGTGGCTGCTTTTAAGAATAAAAATTACTTCTAATTTTTATTAATAATAATAATTATAAGGCACCCTGCATTGCGGTTATGCTGTACACACTGACGCATATACCTCAATATAAACCTAAACAGACTGTGTGTTGGAACATATTGTTTCACAAAATATAATTCATTTTGTAGTCTGGGCTTAAATGTGCTCTTTTAGAAAAAACATTAAAAATAAAGCTTGCTGTGAGTACCAGAATGAGTACCTGTATATATTTAACCAAAACAACACAGAGTAAAATGTTTTTTACCTTTAACAGAGTACACAGAGTTAAATAATATATGAATGACATTTTGTACTGGCGGTTATTTAATATATATTATATTATTATATATATTATATATTATATTATATTATATATATTATATATATTATATATAGTCTTTGGACTATGGGGGAAACCAGAGCCCCTGGAGGAAACTCATCTCTTGCTGTGAGGTGACAGTGCTCTCTTCTGTGTCACTGTGTCACCACCACTGCATGTATATCAATTAAAAAAATTTATATAAGCATTTAAATATCTACTTACTAATTTAACTTTTTTCTTTCATCAGATGGGTTCAGGTAGTGCTTCTGTCCTGCTGCGTTTCACAAAATTTAGCATCACAAGCAAAATTACCACCTTGTGTCATGTTACATATACTGAGCAATCAGCGCGGTTGTCAAGGCTGAAATTCAAGCGCAACCAGTCATTTTAAACAGAGACATGGTGAATCATTTAAAGAAATTAAAATGTTAAGTTCAGAGAACTGAAAAAAATATATATTTTTTGCTGCTTAATAAGTAAGTTAAACACACCTGTTTACGTTTTGATGCTTGGTATTTTAAGTAATGTCAAGTTATATTAACTTAATATCTTAATATCTCGTACTTGGAAGCACCCATACACTTTTGCATTTATGCACACTCATGCACTGTGGCCAATGTAGTTAATCCAATTCACCTTTAGCACATGTCTTTGGACTGTGGAACAAACTGGAGCACCTGCAGGAAGCCCACGGGAACATGGGTAAACCACTTTTCAAAATCCAAATTTCAAAGTAGACTTTTAAAATGAGAGAATATCAATCTACCTGGCAATGTATTGTCCTGATGAGGGTAGTTCGTGTTTGTTGGGTTTGTCAAAACAGTTGACCATATTTTGGATAAGAGCTAGATCAGGCCGTACAACAGTTGCAGCTGTAACAGCTCTGTTGATCAACTGCAGGGCATCACTAATGTAGAAATCCAGTGGTTTGTGGTCGACCTCTCCATAGGCCAGCAGTCCTAAAGGCAGGCCAATGGAATGAAGAGCATCTGGGCTTAAAGGATGTCCCATAATCCAATGTACAGTGGGCAATGTCAACCCCAGGTCATGCGCGCTGCGCAGAACTGATGAGGCACACTCCGGGTCAGCCCCAAAAAGCAGGACTGAGGCAGGAGGAGAATGGTCCAGATTAAAGTGCTCAGACAGGAAGTCAGAAATGTTAGCCATGCGAGCTGTGCTGTGAGAGAGATTAAGAGCGGCCCGCAGGTGCCATTGTGAAGGTCCCCAGCCAAAGCGGCCTTGGAGTTTTAGGAGATCCAGAAGACCAGCATCCTCCCAACCATGGCAAAGAACTGCCATGCTCTCTTCCCAGCCACTGCGCTGCAAAACGGCCAGAAGTAGCTCCACTAATCCCGATGGAGGAATACGAGTCGTCATCTGCAAGTGGAAACGATTCTGAAGGCAGAAAAAACAACATGGTAATCAAATTAGTCATGTTTGTGGGCTAAATGATACTGAAAACATTGCTATAATAAAAGTGCTTCATAAGATCTGTATTACAGCAGCTGGAGAGTCTAAATTAATGAGTTCAAGGGTGAAGAGCCCAACTAAACCAGCCCCTCACTCCATTACAGGGACACACACAGACCAAAAAAATAAATAAATAAAAAAAATCATAGAAAAAATTATACTCAAGTAAAAGTACCTTAACTTAGCCAAAAATGTAGTGCAAGTACATTAAAAGTATCTGTTGTAAATATTAATCACACTATGAGTATAAAGTAGCCCTTCAAAAAGTACTCAAGAGTAATGATGAGTAGTGAGTATTACGCTGTAAATAGCTGATGCATTTATGCAATTTGTGCTTGCGTGAAAATGTAACATTCTGTAGTGTATTTAAGGATTGTAGTGTATTTAAGGCCATTTGGGCAGTCTAAACAGTCTCTGTGTCATTGCAACTAAAGATTTTGGACATTTTCTTGGACACTTTTAATGCTTTAAAACGGTTTGCTGCCTTTATAATGCACCCATGCCTTGAGGTTAAGTATGATGCGATTTACGTAATATGTGCGATTTAATTGGACGGACTCACAGGAGTGATTTTTCTTCTCAGCCAATCCACATAGACAAGAACAAGTAAAGTAGAGATGCCAAATGTTTTCCTTCAAGAACTATTTAAAGGAATTTTGTCATATTCAAAATGTGTCAATTTATTTTCAGTAAATACAAAACATCAAATAGTTTTAAACGTTGTTTTTTTTTAAGTTTTTGTGTTAATGCACCTTTTCTATTTACAATAAAGAATAAAAATACTTTAACATAAATCAAAAGATTTATTTTTTGCTAAACGTTTCACAACACTTTTCACTAAAATGTTACAGTAATACATTCCCATTTACAATAAAAACATTTTTTTTCAATGTTCACACAATACCTTTGTAATCACTTAAAAGGGAATTTAATTTTCTTATTTTAAAATAGAAATAGTATTGTATGTAACAAGATATGCAGAATGTTTGATAAGTCTTACAATACAAAAATGTCTGCATGAACGCTTTCCGTATGCAGGCCAGCATATGTGTGTATTGGAAAGCCAACGCCAAAAGGTGCGAATATCAATTATGAAAATATATTTATCAGACAATGCTTACCAAATGTTTTTTTAATGCCTTAAATGTTTGTGTTTCTTTGAACATATGCTTTTAAATGATGATGCATGTTTTAATATGGAAAATATTCATAAAATCACTGTCTTTCCAGTAATATTTATTTTCATAAATATTGTAACAAAGAAGGAGTTCTCTAACACTTCTTTTTATAAGAAACAATTGTGTACCTTCATTTCAACTGTACCAAAAGGTACAGAACAGTATCATAAGAGGTCTTTTCTGTACTATATAAGGTACAACTTCTACAAAGGTCCAAAACTGTTCCTTTTTTATTCTTATTCTTATTTTTTATTATCCTTTATTTATTCTGTACCTTTTATTCTGATAGTGGAAATATATTAAAACTTAATTTTTGATAAGACCAAAAATACATGATCAAATATTGTCTTATCCTAAAAAAACACGCATCAATGAAAAGCTATTTATTTAACTTTCAAATTATGCATACATCTTAACTTTCAAAAATTGACACTTATGATGGGTTTTGTGGTTCAAGGTCACAACTGTAATTTTTTCTTTATTTGTCCTAAATGCGTTTTTGTTGTAATTGTGACATTTTGTTTATATTGCTAAGTTATGAACTTATATGATGTAACCAATATATTTAGCCACCTTATTTTTAAAACAGCAACTTATTTTGTAAGCAACCAAGGTCAGAAGTTAAATGCCATTAAATAGCAATTTACCTTGGGACATTAAGTTCCGCTTAAGGTCAAAAATAGAATATTTGCGTTGCTTTATCAAAGTCTACATCCTTTCGGCTTCATTCTCTCTTAAGAGCCCTCGTCAGTATGCCACTCACATGTATAAGGCTACGGTTCCCGCAATCTTGGATTCTTGGCCACAGTTCTGCATGTCCTTCCACAATATTGGTAGTTGAGCAATTGATTTTGTACCGTAAAACCAAAGGCAGTAATAAATTTCCTCTCTCCAGCATGATCTTGACAGACAGTGCTACACCAGCAGTTTTAATGCCATACAGAAAACCCTCAACCAAATGTATACACAATATCATTAAACAGATAACCACAGGCTCAGAATGTGCATTTTAAGACTGACTCATCTAGTGATTGACAGTCTTATTCATAAGGCCATCGTTTATTCTTTTACCTGTCTGACGATTTAATCTGGCGGTCCAGACTGCAGTGACAACAGAGAGAGTTATTCATGCTGCTGTTCACAGTGCTATTCGTGGAGTGTCTGAATCATGAATCTCGATTCTATCCAAGTTTCTCAATACAACTGGAAAAAACAGGGGTCTGGTATCAGTGCAATATATGATGCAATACATTTCAACAAGTTTTATTGAACCAAAGATCAGATCCAAGGCCAGGAGGACTTCCAAGAAGAGTTTACAGGGTATACTGAGAATGGGAAAACTGTGAGATGTATGATGAAAACCTACCCTGAGAATGAAGACATACTGAGGAAGTACAAGGCTTTGGAAAATTGGATGTGGAGAGTGGAGTGCCACTGAGAAAATAATATTGCTCCTTTAATCTGGAATGCAATATTTATGTCACATGATTTCACATTACATAAAAGCATCCATCTTCTGCATACATAGTGTGCAGTGAAGAGGACCCCAAGCAATTTTTTTAATCTTACAAATATAGTTTTATCATGAATTTTAAGTCATAAACTAACACTGTTTTATTAGGCTACATCATAGGCTGTAACGTTTTATTCTTTATAATAATAATTGTTGCATAATCAAACACGCTGACAAGTTTTTTAATCCTTGTTAATGAATATGAAATGTAATGACAGTGATGATCACAATGAGTTCTTTGAGTGGGCCAAAGAGGCTGAACTAAACCTGAATAATTAGTCAAATGAAAGAGACAGAATTGATTTTAGAAAAATAAATGCCTCAGAGCTGAAACCTGTGTGTGTTTATGAAAAGAAAGATGAAAGGGTACAGGAGTATAAGTGTCTTGGTCTTTGATACTACACATTCCAGCAAAACACAGAGCCTTTTTATGCTACCTTTATTGATGGTATCTTAAGTTTTTCTTTTCAATGCTGGTACTCATCAATTTATCTATTGAAATAACAATTATCTTAAGAGTAGTTATGACTTGCTCTAAACAAAATGGTGTGTCTCTGCAGAGTCTAGCAGCGTTCTGTGAGTAGCAAACTAAGAAATATAAGTATAATATAAACTACACTCACTGGTCACTTTATTAGGTACACCTGTCCAATTGCTCGTTAACTCAAATTTCTAATCAGCCAAACACCTGGCAGCAACTCAATGCATTTAGGTGCCAGTTGCCTGGTCTAGTATGTTTTGATTTCTGCTGCGACATTTGGATAGTAGGGTCAGAATTTGGCTTCAACAACATGAAAGCATGGATCCATCCTGCCTTGTATCAATGGGTCAGGCTGGTGGTGGTGGTGCAATGGTGTGGGGAATATTTTCTTGGCACACTTTGAGCCCATTAGTACCACAGCCTACCTGAGTATTGTTGTTGACCATATCCATCCCTTTATGACCACAGTGTACCCATCTTCTGATGGCTACTTCCAGCAGGGTAACATGCCATGTCATGAAGCTCAAAACATCTCAGACCAGTGTTTTGATCATGACAGTGACTATGTTTACATGGACATCAGTAATCGAATTATTTGCCTTAATTTATTTAAGACAATAATAAGATTAAGGCGTTTACATGAGTTGCTTTTTTAATGTTTCTTTCATGATCCTGTTTGACATGTTATACCAAATTATTTGATTATTGTCATTGAGTCACTGAGCTATCCGCATTTCCTCTGGAGTTTCATGTAATTTCAGGTGTTTCATTATTAGTTTGTTAACTTTAACTGCAATTTGGTACTTTCAATTTCATTCGGGCATGCCCCCCGTGACAAACAAAATATTGGATGCAACTGTGAACTGCTGGAAGGCTGTTGTTTTAATGGAAGTTCATACCACATGCTGAATGGAAGAAAAAAAACAATGTAGGTGTCTGTGGTCTGCACTAACTCAGTAGGTGCAGAGTGTCAAACAGCTATGTGTGTGTGTGTGTGTGTGTGTGTCTGTGGACTGTCCTGTCACAAAACACGTTGAAATGCTCTACATGATGATAATATTTCGATTAAGGTGTTTACATATCTGTTTTGCACTTTAATAATGCGGCTAAAATCGGCATATACTCCACATGTCTTAATTTGTCTCTGTCCTTGTGTGCAGGAGAAGCATCGATGGAGGCGTTGGAGCAGGAGCTGGAAGAAGTGGTGTCCCAGATCCGTGCACTTTCGGTGAGGCGGACGCGGCTGCAGAAACAACGGGCGTTGCTTGTTGTGCCTAACGCTAAGGCGCCTCATCATCTAAGGTACGTGGAAATTACAACCACATCACTCCCTCTACCTCAACCCCGCATCCTTCTCTATCCAGGCCCAGCGCACCCGGCTACCATGGCGCCTGGGTGCAGCTTGTAAGGTGCTTGCCAGATCCCGGGGCAGAAAGTCTCCTCCTCCCGTGTTCGAGATCTCCACGGAGAACCGATTCCCCCCTCTCCGCGAGACGGGTCCCGATGTGGCCATCATCGGTGACTCGATCGTTCGTCACGTCCGTGCCGCCTCCTCAAAAGGTAATAAAGTACGTACTTTCTGCTTTCCTGGTGCCCGTGTAAGAAATATTTCTACACAGATTCCAGCTATCCTGGGCGCTGCCGAGAGCCCGGGTGCCGTTGTCCTCCACGTGGGGACAAACGACACCGGGCTCCAGCAGTCGGAGATCCTGAAGAAGGACTTCAGGAGCCTGATCGAGACGGTTCGACGCAC